ATTAACATTTATTTTTGACATTTGCATGCATGGCTCGCGGGATGAGCTGTACAGCAATAGGCCAAGAGAGGACGAATGTCCCGGCAGAATAGGAAACACTGATTAAATAAAACTTCAAAACAGTGTCAGAACCGCGTCAATTGTCACCGTGTGAGATTGGGTGCATGTTATGTAAGGCCGTGATGATGCACCACGCATGTAGGTGTCGTAGACCTTCAGAGTCAGACTAAGAGGTAGAAACACAGAGGTCAGAAATATCAAGTGAATGTCATCCCGAGTGCGGTAAGATATTTGGCTGAGGTGGAATATATCATCCCTCGTTTATTGGTAACGACGGGGTGGTGAACAATATTTGTCGTCTCAGGAAACTGTTCACGTAGGTATCGCGATATGGCATTCTCCCCTGATCCGTATTTATCCGCTTTCAGTTTAAAAGTACAATCCATTCGGTATGCGTCACAGATGGCCACGTTCACAATGTGAACCGTAGAATTTCTAACCGCAAGCAGGTCTGGCTTGATGAAAGGAGGTGGCTGTCGGAATCCTCGGCTCCATAAACAATGTTAATGCTTCGGCGCCGCAATCGCCTGGCAATCTGTTGTGCAATTTCATTATGACGTTTACAGCGGACATCATGCGTGATGCTGCACGCCTGAAGAACATGTGACAGAGTCTCTTTTTGTCCGCAGTTCCCGCGGCAGTTGAGAGAAGCCGGGTCATTTGTAGATCTGCCTCTGCTCCGTCGCGTTTTGGTAGAAAGAACACCCCCGTAGTTGGACACCCCGTATGAAAAGACGTGGAAAAATCCTGGTGGGGTCCCTCAGCCAGTGGTGAGCGGAAGGTGACGTGACCACATTTTGCAAGGGGAGCCATCCACTGAAGCAAAAAACGCATCTCTCCAGGCATCCGCAGCTGAGCTTTTATCCATGACGACGCGATTACCGATGGTAACAGTGGAGCGCGCTAGACGATGGATGGCAGCAGCTGCAGGGTCCCGGATCGCCCAACTGGTCACTGGATGGCAGTTGGCTAGGTGTCGTTCCAGCCTCTCCTTCCGTAGCAGGGGAATACTCGTTGACAGACACGGAATACCCAAACCAAAGCTCGCAATGGGAGCGTGAAGATATGCAATGGAGGTGTCTGACGGCAAGCGCAGCCATTTTCTGACGTGTGATCTGACAATGCGATCCAACCGCTTCAATGTATTCCGGTGAACCACTGCCAGAGCTAACTGATGAACATGCTTGGGGAGCAGATAGGTCCTCAGAATCTCAAGTCGTTGTTGTGGTTTAAGCGGTGACTTGGTAACTTCGTTAAGTTAGTTAAGTAATATCGTCGATTACTGTTAGAGGGAGCTTACCCTTCCAGTCAAAAGGCAGGCCCAACATCTTGAACTTTTCATCGGGCTGAATGGAGGGAATAGAAATAGGACCACAGTCCAAAGCATTCGTCTCCAGTATGGTTCGTTTGCGAGCGCCATCAACAATTATATTTACTGAGAAAGAATTTAGATGGTTGATGTTGAGGCCGACGCACTGCAGTCGTTGATGGAATCGCTGAAGGTAATCTCCCAGAGAAATGCGGTCTTGAGCAAAGATGATCACGTCGTCCGCGTAAGCGAGGTACTCAATCGGGCCAGCCGCTGATATGCAAGGCGAAGTGGCGACTCCGTGTAAAACTTCATCTAAGGACATTATGAAGAGCAAAGGCGAAAGCGGATCTCCTTGCCGGACCCCTCTATCAGGATGAAGCTTGACATCATTGAAGATTGAGGACGCGGAGCTGTAATACGATGCCAAGTAGTTTAATAATAGCGGGGGGCTTCGAAAGCAGCTGCTGCTCGAAGTAAGGAGTGATGAGAAATAGAATCGAACGCCTTCGAGATATCCACTGCCGCAAATGAAAGGGGGGTACGCGAAGAATGAGAATGGCGAAGAGCAGCATGGAGTATGAACGGGGCTTCGAATGCGCCATCTTTACGAAGAAAACCAAATTGAAGGCGGTCGGTAGGGAAAGTCGGAACCCAACGATCAAAGGGGATACGATGAAGAAGGCGTGTGAAGACAGATGAAACTGCCATTGGACGGAATTGGTCAGGGGAGATGGGCTGGGAAACCTTTGGTACGAAGTGTTCATGTGGATTGGAAATGGGTAGGAAGCAAGAAGACAGTTGGGAGAAGAGGTTACAAAGTAGGGATCCATCCTTGAAATATCGGCTGGCTTGATGCGGTCTACACCGGGAGCCGAACTGCGCATCTGTTTGAGAACACTTTGCATCTCCTCCAGGACAATTGGCTTCACCAACTCATCATTAGCTGGAAGGAATCGACGCGGTGCGCGCTCATCATTAGCAGAAGGTCTAGAGAGGACATTCTTCCAATATTCCGTGAAACCTGGAATGTTCTCGTCCTCATTAAGAAAGGCAGTGCGCCATTTTCCCTCAAGCACCGTACTTGCAGCGTCTTTTCGGTGGGTATGATAAAGACGTTGAATATGGCCATATTGTAGGCGTCGCCGGTGCTAATTGTTTCGAGTCTTAACGGTATGTACACAGTTTTTTCGAAGGCCTCCATCTGTGTGGAAAGAGAGTAGCACACACATCGTTTAGGGCCTCAATAAATGCTATCCTCGATCCATCAGTAGCGAATGAATTCACCATATTCCGAAGTATGCGGTGTTCCTCCTTGGCAGGAGAGGCGCAGTTGCAAAGAAGCTGTTGGGCAGCTAGCAGCAGAGTGCGGAATACTGGTGTTGGCGCGGACGCAATGGAAGCTTCGTAATTAGAATTGGAAGCTTCTGGTTGATCCTGTACCGCAATGGCCGTGGGGCACGTAGTGGACGGAGGGGCCATAATACCAGCTGAAGTTTCGCTAGAGAAACTTATGGTAGACGACTGCTCCTGAGGGCATACTGTTGCCTCTGGAACTAACGCTGCAGATGAGTGAGGCGAGGTTGAATAATCTATCGAGGCAGTGGGGGATGGTACATTGAAACGCAAATCAGCGTCGGAGGAGGCGGTGGTCACCGCAGGATTGCCTTCGTACGATTCTCGAGGGGTTTGTGTAGACACACCCAAGTTAGTAGTTAATGTAGACTGAGGTTGATGGAATTCATCGGACGTTATGATTGAGCAGGGTGACGCTCGTACGGTTCCATCTGGAGGCGTGATTGGATGTTTGGTTTCCGTCGATGTTTGCGGAAATGCACTGGAAGTGGACGTTGTGTGATGTTGATGAAAGAACCATCTAAGTCGTTGCAAGCGTTTTCTGATACTGTCCCTGGTGCGAAAGGGGAAGACGCGCCTCAGTCGTTCTAAAAGGATATTTAAGGAAGGAGACGTAACCGCAAAACGTGAGGCTGCTAAAAGTAGGGATTTATCATCCCTGGCTGACCAGTTGTAAGATTGCCTCGGTAGTCGGGCTAGACAGTCTGCATTGTAACTGACAGGATGCTGATGTCTCCAATGCTGAGACAGGCCATTTTTAGTCGAAAACGTACGGTGACATGTTGGGCATTCGAAACTGGAAGTATTCCTGGCAGCGGCTGTGGTAAGTAAACTCGTAGGGTTCCTGAGATGGGCCGCCAAATGGCGCCGCAGGCCACTCCTAGATTTAAACGTCCTCGAGCACAGCGAACAAGAGTGAGGCTGGAGTACGTCAGAGATCGTCGCCGGATCGGAGGCAGGAGATTTGGATTTTGATTTAGTAGCTTCAGCAAGAGAAACTCTTCGTCGTGGTGATGGCAGCAACTGAGGGGGGCGCTCAAGTAGTACACATGGTTGTCGTGATCCCCATGTAAGGGCTATGGGTGTAAAGGGTGAGTGTACGGGTTTTTGCGGGATGCGGTTCCGAGAGCTGGCTATGGAGTCGGCAGAGGCCGGTCCGTTTGATTCGTCGAAAGAGCAACCAGCAAATCCACTGCTCTGACTCTGCAGGGCAGGAGATGAAGGGAAACAGGTGGGAGCCTGCGCCGCGGGCCGTTCATAGGCCCCTATCCGCGGCTGGGGTGAGGGGGGTGCATCGAGTTGGGCGTGTATAAAATAGCATTCGGGTCATTGGAGGGGTTAATATCTGGGGCGTTGGTGATAAAAGGGTTGTTGGGCGATCCGGGACGACAGCGGAGGTGCGAAATAGCCGGCTGGCGACGAGTAAAATGAGGAGAGGGGCGATGTGATCGATTCACTGGAGTGGGTGACGCGGTCTCTTTGGATGCTAGGGATATCACAGGAAAGCTCGGTGTGTTTTGCTCCGGACTGTGGTTACTGATTGTGTCCTCAGTAATATTATCGGTTGTACCCGTCGTGGGTGTTAACGACTGTTGAGGTTGGTGGCGATGAAGGCGGCGGCCTGGTGGACGTTTCCATTTTAGAAATTGGAGCCGTTTCCTTATTGCTGCCATCGTTCGGAAGAGGAGTTTAGTTTGTAAAAGTGGCAAAAGCTGCGCTAGTGAAGATACCGATTCGCCTAAATGAGCTGCTTGCAGTAATTACTGAGCATCTTC